ATTTTATCGAAGGTTTGGCAACGTTTGAGAGCTCACACGGCGTTCTTCTTTAGCACGGCAGCATAGACAGGGTGTTCGCAGCGAACAATTTAAGAATCGATTCTTTACCATAGCTTCAAATGGAGAAATATCGATAATCGATCACCACGCCTCTGGAGGGTCTTTACTCTCTTTCCACATGAGCGCCGGACAGCATAGAGTTATACCGAGAACAAGGGTCACGGAAAATGGAAATGCGCCAATACTCCAGAGGGGCGACAATACGTGGCCGAATTAAAGTATCACTTTCAGATTCAGATCACGAAAAATTACGGTTGTTTGGGGAATATTTCCCAGTCAAAGGACTGAACCTTACGCCTCTTTTGGTGCCATTTTTTTCTATGCAGGTAGGGGATTTTATGAATGAGCAAGAAAGGGTTCCTTGTTGCAAAATCATGTCCATTTTCATGGTGAAAAAGCAAAAATGGATGCCTTTACTCCGGTGACCTCATTATAAAAACGGACATGAGATTAACCGATTCTCCCGGACATTTATAACGATGGGCACGTATGAGTATTTGCATCAAAGAAAACCTCACGAGCTGGTCTTGAATTAGGACAAATTGGACGTATTTATGCTAAAAGGCACTATGCGCATATGGATTGCGTGTGACATAGTTCCTTTTAGCATAAATTCGTCCAATTGAGCTGATGCTGCTCCGGTCGCGGTTAGCCAGTCACTCAGTCCTGGTAAGGACAAACAGCGTACCTCCAAATGGAAACATCGTGGATATTTGTGGTTGTTGCTTGGCACGACAGCGTGGACGAGTGTGCAAAAATCTCGAATTAGCGCGTTGACCCTTGATTTATTACTGTCACTTAACCTAAGCGGAGGTGGGTCAAAAATCATCCGCCTTCGGCGCTGCGTGACACCCTGAACTCGTGAGGCTTTCGTGACCGTATCTATGCACCCAGCGCTGCTGCGTTAGCTTTTAGAACAAGTATTTTCTCACGTCACCATCACTGATTTTGTTTGCAATAACCTACGATGCAGGATTTTCTTCTTTTCAATAGGCTGGTAATTTTTAAGTTAATTTAAATCTCCTCCGTGAGACGAAAATATTGCATACTTTTAGTATGATAGACTCGGTTCTTTCGAATTGAAATACGGAGACGAAAGAATAATAATAATATTCCTATTTCATTTTTTCTTCCTCCTCCTCTTCTTCTCTGTCGTATTATCCTTCCTCTTCTTCGCTTCCCTGTTCTTCCTCTTTTTCTTCGCTTCCATATTCTTCCTCCTCTTCTTTATTTTCGATCCTTTCCCTCTTGTTTCTCTTGTCCTATCTCCTCCCATTCCTCCTCTTTTCTTCTTCTTTTCCTTCGTATTCAAATAGATGTGATATTATTCCTTCCCCTTCCTCTTCCTCGTCATCTTCTGTTCCGTCCTTTTTTTCTCATCATCTTCGGTTCCTTTCTTGTTTCTATATATTCTTCCAATTTCCTTTTTATGTCTGTTTTCCTTTGCACTCTTCATGTTCATATTCTTTCCCCTCTCTTATTTCTGCTTTTTCTTCCTATTTTTGTTCTCCCTCTTCCTCCCCTCTACCTGCTTCTTCTTCTTCTACTTCTCTCTCATCAGATTGTTGTTGTGTCCTTATTTAACATACGTTAGGTAATTAGTCATCTTATGACTCTAGTTCGTCAGCCTGAAGATTTCCAGCACTGTTCCTTTCGATGTTGCAACAGTGCTAGTTAGTAGCCAAATGATTACTTCGCAATGTTACATGAGCTATTTATCGGATGAAAATCAGCTGTCAGGAGATGAAAAGATTTTAATGACACAAGGAGTGCTTCGTAAAGGTGCTAGATACTCTCTGGTAGCTTATTTCAATACTGATGCCCAGTGTCATACTGTCATCAGTGGCGTGGCGTGCTTTGCGATATATCGATTGTTATGCCATTTAAAACTATAGAAAAGGATCGATAAACAGGGTGTTCGCAGCGAACGCCTTAATAATCGATTCTCTACCATAGGTTTAAATGGCAAAACAATCGATGTATCGCAAAGCACGCCACTGACTGTCATACTTGGACACATCATGATCCATCATGCAACTTTGTAAGTTAAAGATCCACTGCAATGTACTTGCAGAGGTGTTGTATCCGCAAAGGCGCTGCTTCTTATAGGTCAACTTTGATATTGATACAATTAATTCCCGTGTAACATAAGTGATCCATCTTATGTACAATTATATACGAGCTTCGCATGGGACAACTGGTGCACTTATTACATATCGACGGTGAAACTACCGGTCCATGTACATTATATTTCGTTTGCGATGGGTTATTGGTAAGGATGAAGTTGCACAATCTTAGCAATATTGCAATGCTCCTGGGTCCTTTTTGAAAACTGTCGTACATTAGTAAGCCTCCAACAGATCATTTGGTGATTGGTGCGGTGACATTAGGACAAACCATGTCCAACTCCGTTAAATCGGGCTCTATGAAAATGGTTGGATTATTTTGAAGTGTCAAACGGTTGTGTCTATTAGAATAATAGTTTAATCATGATAAAATCGGTTGCTAGCTGACGAAATATGAAATATATCGCAGACTTGTCTGGCAAGGATATGACTATCCTTAGAATATTAGTAAAAAGATTTAAGTGCTGTTTTATTACCCAATACAGCACTTAAATATTATTACTTATATAATTCTGTATCTTCTTCTCTCTTATTAATAATTGTTAAATATTTTCACTTCCCTCGTGAGCTTCTAGGAGTTTTCACGCATATCGACGGTGAAACTACCAAACCACGTATCTCGGTTTGCGACGTCGCAGACTTCCTGTCATACTTTATTTTTTAAATGAAAAACTACTTAACGTCCAGTTTTGAAAATTTCTGTGATTTTTCCTCTTTGTGCGGAGAAAATTCTGTGAAAATTTCAAGGAATGATATTGATTTCGTCTACTTCAAAAAAATAAAATGCGAGCGTAGATTTTTAAACACTGCAAACGAGATACGTGGTTTGGTAGTTTCACCGTCGATATTTAGCCTAAAATTAGGGGGATCAACGTTCTTGGGAGGAGGTAATACTTGTGTGAGGAGCAAATCTTGAAAAAATCTCTTGCGATCACTCGAAAGTAAACGAAACTACGTGAAATAAGGCTTAATTTAAACTTTTAATCTTAATTAGAAGTATTGATGACTCGTCAGCCACATGTCAGTCACTTGATTTGCTCCATCATTTCTTTTATTTTAGGAACGGGCGATGCAGATTAATCTTTATAGAAACTCATGGTTTTGAGACTAACAATTATGTTTGGACCAATGTTAAAAACGAAGCTATCCTCACAGTTTTTGCCCGATTTATTACTGATGCACCAACAGATTTAAGCAAAATCAGCCTAACTATACACCAGCCGTTGTCTGATTCATTCTCGTGTTTTATTGTTTTACCGGAAAACAAATCAACATTCTGACCCAAAAGTTGATGAGTATGTTCATTGGCATCTAAAAAAGAATTCGAAGAGTCTTAGCACGTGTTATTTTTTTTGTTAAGAGAGTGTAACGCAAGAGGCAAGCAACGTAAAATGTTGTAAGGTGAAATTTTTTCAACTGAAAATATCAAGTCCTCGCGAGATGGGTCTAAACGTGCTGAGAAACGCCTTCGAATCGACGAGTATGACACATTACATACATCAGCTTGCGTGCCGCTGATGAGCGCCTACAAGTAAGTGATTATGCAATGAGTGAAATAATTTTTACAATGAGCCGCGAAAATCTCCATAGAGGTATTTAAATAGTGAGGTTTTGAATTTTACAGTCGCAAATATTTTGAAAAATTATCAACTATAAGGCAAATTCAGGTACATTCTCTTCATTGGAGACTTAAAGTATAAGTAGGAAAAATTCGAAAATATTCTGATTAAACAGTAAAATGAAGGGAATTCGAAGGAAAACCGACCAAGAAAACTAGACGAAATAGAAATCAGGAAAGCTGAAAGAAATGGGGAAGGTGCTATTCTTATCTTAAAAAAAATGTAATTTATTCGACCAAGACGCAATCATTTTAAAATCACGTGTTAGAAAAAATTAGGACGACCTAACCTGACCAAATCTTCCCGGCTTAGAAAAATCAGTGAAATAGATAACATCGGAAAATGCATGAAAATGTAGAGAGATACGAAAATTTCATAAATTTTCCTGAAAATCAGAAAAGTAGAGAAACGATTTCTAGGGGGGAGAGCCAGTGGCTCAGTTTCAGCTCTGTTAAAAGCAGATTATTCCCTTACTTACTGTGTATTCCATGAATTAACTAGTTCATCATTATCATTCCTCATTTTGGAAAATTCTGTCAACAATTTCAGATTACATTGATTGTAAAACTTATTAATGTGTTATCTGAACGAATTTTCGATGAATTCTCGACGAGTTTGTGATCTTAAATATACTGAATGACTTTTTCGATGAATAATTTGGTTCGTAATTATATGTCTTTAACGGTAAAAATAAAAGGAACTAGACATTAAACAAAACTCATTTTAATAAATTAAAACAAATAATAATATCTTGAATGTACAAATAAATTAAATCAGTATTCTACGAAAATAAAAACTAAATCAGCACTAAATGAGGCGTATCGGTACAAAAGTAATTCCATGTGAGAAAGTATTGTGATTGGAATCAGAATTTTCGTTTTTATTCTATGTAGCTCAATGAAATCGCATGTTCGTGCAAAATATCGTTATTTAGGTGATTTGGATGTGGTGTTTTAAATCGAATTTTTTCGTTGTCTGGATCAAGTTAGAAATTAGAAAACAAAAGTTGAGATACTAGCCGATTTTACAAATAAATGCAATGATTACGTATCAGGCCAAGCTTCAATAAAATAAAAAAGTGTGCAATTATTGCATTTATTTGTAAAATTGTATAATAGCTCAACTTTTGTTTTCACATCATGAGTAGGTAGCCTAAAACCGAGGAATCTTGTTAGAAAAAAGAATACCAAGTAGGTTGAAGTAAATACATCTCTATCATGATATTTAAAATCATTAATAAAGCAAGAAATTCTATTCTTATTTTTCCGAGAACAATTTACCTAGGTACGGAAAAGGAAATTGCATTATGATAAGAAGTCTTTGGTGAACCTTAAATTAAAATATACATATCAAGCCCAGAGGACTTATCTCTCTCTTAATCTTTTTAGAGGTAGTCTTAAACATTTAAATTTACTTCCCTCTATTCATTTAATTCATTAAAATGTCTTATAGACATTTCCTCGCGCTTACAGAAACATTAGGGTCTTACATCAAATTTCACGAATTCAACACCTATTTTGAGGATTGGTAAGGAAAGAAAACTAGGTGCGTAGTTCATGATTGGTTATCAAAAATTTTTGGTTAGCACTTTCAGTCTGAGGAACTCACTATTTACCCTTTAACCAATGAAGCTCTCCTTTACCTTATGCCCTGCACAATACTTACTTGTCATGTTGTTTTCCGTCATTACAAACTTCTTTGAGATTATCTTTGTTCATGCTCACGCAAACTGAATTCAGATCGATTGTATATGGTCATCGCATCTTTGTTCAAAGAGTGTGGTTCTACGTGCTGGCCGCTTGATTGCAGCAACAGGAGGTGATAAGGTGATGTTCATTGCAGGAATTTGCATGCAAAAATCCACAGTCAGCAAATTTGCACTGATATGGAAGTTCCGTGTCTGTGAACATGTAATTTTTGATGAGCATTAAATACTATATATACCTATATATACCTACAATGGGGGACGACGGTCTGACTTTTTACTATTTTTGGAAACAGCACATAACGAATAAAAAAGAGCATAAGAATCAAGGGGCGAGACCTCAATTTTTAAGTTAATGTGATTCCTCAGAGGAAAAATTTTGTAGTAAAAATAGAGTGGTGCATGTCGAGTTGAGTAAGAAAGAGACTTCAAAACGGCCGAAAACTCTCTTTCTCTAGTGTGCCCTAAAGAATGAGTTGAATTGCAAATGGTTCAGGTGTAGCTAATGTTTCTGCCAACGGCTATATGTGGTGCAACAAAGCTTTCAGTTCAGGTAATCATAGTGTTTGGTTTCATACTTAGGTTAAATTTTGCAATAAGGAACATCTAAGTATAAGGGGCGTCACTGGCTCTTTCATAAAAGCACCTACCTGCATAAGGAAACCAATGCTACATGTGTTGTTTCTAAAATGAGCCAGAAATAGTGATTCCTCATTGCAAAATGTGGTCCAAGCGCCAGAGTGACGCCAAAAACCTCAGTTATACCTAAACCGAAGTTACCGTCAGGTTGGTGTGCCAACATGGTATAGATTCGAAGTCTCTTCTTCGTGAACTCATTGTAACTTACCATATGGGCTCAAGCAACAGCACGCATCATGAAGGAGCTTGTCACTACAGTAGCTGTAAACGGAGGAGTCGCACAAGGGGCAATGCTTTCCACGCCCACTTAAAATGTCCTCGACTTCGTACGAAGAGTGGCTCTCTGCCTCTTCACTGTCTTCTTCAGACTCCGTTACCACTGAAAAAGGCGTGAAAAAGATGATAAGAAATTGTAAGAACCTCAAACGGTAAAGCAGTGCTAAAACGAATGCTTTACTCAAAAAAATCATCCAATTAAAAAAGTTCGAGAGGAAACCGTTTTACACTTCACCGGAATATTTTAGGCTGTAATCTTAGTGTGAATATGTAAATAGTTTACTTCATCGGCACAATAGGCAACGCTGAAATTAAGTTACGGTGTAAGAGAAACAGGCAAACAAAGCGCCATTGTTAGTGTCGAATACGAAGTACACGATCCAAACATGTTAACTACTGGATGCAACTATTCGAACTCTATGGATGTCCATGTTGCATACGCATGGATTTGAAGGCGTTTGACCGTCCGGACACTCACCGCCTCACCCGCGGCGCTAACGGCGAGCTTTACTGCGAGAATTCGAAATGGCAGAGCGCTTTTAATTTATCGTTTATATCATTGAGATATCGCACAAATAGTTCCGTAAAGAGATGGATGTATCTTTTCTTGCTTTTGTTTTGATACCGCGATGTGCTGAGCACGATTTGCAGAGCAACAATTCATGCCTAGGAGATGCTTTTGAAGTATAAATGAAGAATTGAAGGCACACTGTCATTTCAGATCCTCGTAGTAAAACTTGCCGCACTATGAAAACTTCCTTTCAGAAACGTTGGAGATTGATGTTGAATGTTTGAATGAGATGTTAGTATATTGAAGGTCTATGTCATACCAATATATTAATGCCAAAATTTTCAACTTAGTGCCATTGTTTCTAAAAATTATTCCCGAATATTAAACGCCCTCTTAAAAATAAAAATAATGACCGGATAAATGAAGAAAAAGAGCGAAGAGACAGTGACGAGTTGTTCAAGCTAAAAACGTAATTGTTCTGTCTATATTTATTACTTTATCTTGAAGTAAGTTTTTGGCCGATTTTTAGATATTGCGAATGCATGAAAAAATGCGACCATCAATGGATTACTGCGCAGAGGAAGAATTTAAGCACCGTAGGACGTGTTTACTCATAAAAACCCGTTCATTGCTCACGCTAAAGCTCAATTGCTAAAATGTACGGAAATTAGTCCAATTTCGGTCCAATAACTCCAATAAGATTACAGTGTACTTTGATTTCCTTGGCGAACGGGAGCAGCTTTCGCATAGACTAAGACACTAAACATAGACTAAAAAAAATCACATGTTGTCATTCCTCGAAAGAAGTAGTGTAAGTAAATTTTAATGCTGCAAAAATTCCCCTCGTGAATGATACTTTTACTGGACACAAGATGGGAATTTTAAATAGAAATTCCACTGATTTTTCTTCTGATTACGCGTAAAAATTTACAATTTTGGACAGGTATTACTTTGGTCATTCCCTCACAAAAAAAAAAAAAAAAAAAAAAAAAAAAAAAAAAAAAAAAATTCCCGCGTTGATTCCGCGACCATGATGTGGAGTTCTGTCCTTTCATCTAGGAAACAACAGTTTATTTTATTTAATTTTTTTTTAAAACAGTGCAGCAAAGAGCAAGTCTGTCCGAATACATGAGTTAAATTTTAACCGAGCGTCACATTGACAAACACTCATTGCAAAGCTTTCATCCTTACCCTGTCTATTGATCCATTTACTGTCTTTACATACGTAAAAGCTGCTTTCACAGCGCTCTCTGACGCCCTGCAACACCTAACCGCCATTGAACCCTGTCCTCCGCTAGCCTTTCAGGGCATCGTGGCACTCCGTTTAATATCTTTCCCGTATAATATTAGTCACGTTTTATAGCGCTTTTGAAGAAAGAATGAATAGTTTGGCAATTTAAAAAAATAAGAATATTGATAGCAATACGAATATTGATTAGAAGCAAAAATGGAATGACTTAAGTTACGAGGAACTGAGGCTGGAGTGGCGCTTGCTTACTCTTGTCTCGACGTCTATGTTTTCGATGATATTTTAGGCGGTCATGGAGGAGGAAAATGGAAGTTTCACTTACCTGCGGTTACGACAACGGAAACTGTCAAAAAGACGCAGAAGAGTGGAAAGCGGTCCATCTCGAAGGACGCGAAGCGCGTGGCGGCCGAGCGGAGGACATTGGCTGACTGTCGTGGCCGAATGGCCGAAACTCGGGCTGCCCGCCCGCTCGCGTGGCCCATTTGGCCGTCCCATCAAACCGCCGCGAGCGTTCGAGTCCGGTCTGGCCTCACCTTCCAGTAGCCCCGCCAATATAGTACGAGCTGTACGTCCAAAAAATTTCGGACTTTCTACATAGGGTGTTCTAAAAGTTCCCGGTCTTATGTTGCGATTCCGGAGCGAAGATAACAATGGAGAGTTTGTACGAAATTTGTCATTGCTTCATTTGAGAGTGTTTATAATGAGCTCAGTTTGAGGTATCATAATTTTTTCCTGTTATGGTAAATTGTGTATAGAAATAGATTCAAAAGTGAGGAAATGTGTCGTCTTGTGACGTCATCTGCCGACATTTATCTTGGAAACACACGTATTTTAACAGATTCGGTTATTTCGTCATAATCCCTCGAATAATGGCTCAATTTAAAAACCAAGAATATCCTAGACATTCAGTTCTCTTTGTAGTTTTATCCAAACGTTAACTTTACAAATTTTAGACACCTGCACATTTTCCATTGGTATGATCCAGTCCATTTAGTCTGGGGGGTCCGGAATGCCCTTAAGAATGTGAAATATGAAAAAAGTGCATGTGCATCTGCGTAGCTTCAATGATCACGAGAGGCGAACCCATAGGTCACGTAGAAACCCACGGCTTCTTCTTGGTTACTTGATATCGTAGGGTACAGGGTGTTACGGAATTTGCTGAGATTGCTGTAGTTTGACATGTGGACGTTGCACGGATGTGCTATTACTGAGAAATAAGCATGCATCCGCTAAAATGCCGTGCCGGGGTATAAATTTTCAAGCGTTACCTTTGAAACATTACACATTTGCAGGGAAGCTTGTGAATATTTTTCCTCTATTTTTTAAAAGAAATTGATGTACAAATTAATCTAAAGCAACCTGCAACATAACAAATTTAACGGCATAAAACTCACTCACTTACGAAAGGCTCTTTCTTTTGAAAATTTTCCCTGGGCAGGATTTTCTTGGCAGATTCAATTTGGGTTAAGAATCATGTATCAGAATTTTTAACTTCGTACCTTGTGTAACGGTCCATTGACACCCTCCCCCTTTCGCAAAAGAGGTGCACCTAAGGTGTACTCACACCTGCGACTATGTCTCTAAAATCCTAAATCCGACCATGTGCCTTCCTTTTGTTAGATTCGATTCGCTTTTGTGTCGTAAGGGCGTATCTCGATCTCCATAAGACTCCCAGAGAGCTCGGATTAATGTGTGAAACAGGGCTCACGTAGAAATTGAGGTACGCCTTTCCGCCAAAGGGGCGACGAGTTATCAGCGGAGACTTGATCGGCGAGGCAACACTGCCGTTTCGTGGTTCGGAGATGGATCCTCAATTCGCAGGCCATGCCAAAAGCCTAACGGGAAAGAAACAATAGCTCGTGACACTTCCACCATTGGAGTACTGACCAGTGACCACTCTCTCTAAATCCAAACCGGCAGTTTTGATAGCAAAAAAAAAACTGGAGAAACGGTCGAGTCGGGAGATCGAAGCCAGCGAGCAGCGCGTGAAAACGCGCCGCGCGCTGCTTCTTACTTTGAGAGCCTCAGGCATTATTACTGCCGTACTGATTGTGAGTAAGAACGCCGTATGACACATCAGGCGTTGCCAAAATTCCTTCGATAAATCAGGAATTTTCAGGAAACTTGCGAATATTTCCCCTCCGATTTGTCACAGGATTTCATTCGAAATTTGATCTGAAAAGTTTGAAAATTTAGTAGAAAAATATTCGAAACTTCCTTCAAAAATAAATATTTTCAAAGAAGAAATTTGGCAACATTTGAGTGCTTATACGGCGTTTTTACGCAGCACGGCAGATTAGGGTGCCTCCGTTTAGTGCACGTTTTGAACTCGGATCAGTAAGCTATACTAACTTAGTGGGAGGTTTCTTGCGCTCAAATCAGGTTATAGAATCATGGGCTTATAATTTTCGTCTGAAGTCGTCGCCAAAATTTAGCAACAACAATAATTAAACCAAAAAATCTGGGAGGTGTGCCACCAATTAGGGGTTTTTTTGGCAAAATACTTTATAGAATTGTTTTTCCCCTTAAATTTATAGAGCACACTTCTACAGTCGAGAGGTTAAACTCTTGGACGCACCTCTTATAACAAAAGTTATTTCACGGAAATTGCAAGATGATAAACGCACAATTGTCTGTAAGTCAGTTTCACATAATTTATTTTTCACTTTATGCGTCATGTTTGATTGCCTGCCAGCAAATAGTATAGCTTTCTGCTCCATTAAGTTTTCAAGAATGAGTTGGAATATTCTATGGACAAGCTCAAATAATGAAATCCATTTATTGCTTACTTAAATATCACAGTGCTTTGTAAACTCTACGGAAATGAATTATATTACACTCTTACGAATCTAAGTAACAAAAAATGTAACAAGTGCAAGCGTGCAATCGTGCATGTGCAACACGCGACGATTGTTTGGAAGTAAATCACATAAATTATGCCTTCGTTTTTTGCACGTAGGACAATGAATTGTGATTATTTGAAATACAGTGAGCGTTCATACGTTGAGTCCATGAGCTCATTGTTTGTCGTTACACGTTCAATTTTCAAGGCTTTTAATATTGAAATGCTTATTTCTGTCCTGAATTTCTATCTGGATTTATATTTCTGCGAGTCTCTCAAAGTAGTGGCACAAGAAGAGAAATGATCACGCAGCCAAATGTAATGAGCCCTGGAAATCGCATCTCTGATGCGTTCGCGATATTTTTCCCTGAAAGATAAAGAAGAATCAAATTAAATATTTACTTATCCAGTAAATAAATAAAATTATAAAGGGATCGGCTCAGATTGAAGGAGAAACTTAAACATTGCAATCCCGCTTTCAATTTGATTCTTACTATTCACATTTTACACAATTTCTTCATAGGTGCCTTAGAGCCATCGGGTGCTTTCGAGCCTATACAATTTTCTTTACTACTACTATCAGCTTCCAACATAATAAAATGGTTGATAAAGGCTGTTAAGAGAAAGCTTCGAGCGTGGAAAGAATCACGAGAATTAAGGTGCATTAAATAAAAAATGTGACTCATTGTTAGTAAAAAACTAAGAGACTGCGCTGCGCGGTTGAATCCCCCCCCCCCCGCCTCCTCCGAAGCGCTTCGCGCTCCAGACATGATGCGTTATGCGTGACATTTTATAGTAAGATATGGTTATTTATGTAATAAGTAAAATTTAGTTGACCTCTTTGTAGACATTGATACACATTTTTAAGAGCAGCCCGAGACAATGGTAACAGTATAGAAAAACAGGGGACAAAAACGGGAAACAAGGCTAAAATACACAATTAATAAAAATCGAGACGTTTCGACTCAAAACTGACTCAGGTCCCGGCCACCACCACGTAGAGCTCAGGTTTGATCGTTTTTTTTTTTTTAATTTTGTATTGTTTTTCGAAAATTGAAATCGTTTTTGTATTGTTTTTTGAAAATGACTCAATTTTGATTCGAAACGTCTCGGTTTTTATTGATTGTGTATTTAAGCCTTGATTCCCGTTTTTCCCCCTTGCTTTTCTACTGTTTATAGATTTGTATTCGGGGATATAGTCAGTTTATTTTGGTGATCAGACTGCGTTAATAGTTGAATAGGGCACAGGAAGTGATAGAATTGACTCACATTTATCGGCCAAGATCCTGTGGCAGCAACACAAAACGAGACGAGCAAAATCACCGCAGTGGGCCACAACTGTTCGGCACAGCGGCCTTGAATGAGGCCGTACATAACATGTATGCGGAACGTACGGAAACACCTCTGAAAAAGAGTTGAGAAATATTTTCGTGAGTACGAAAAAAAAACAACCCTATTGTAAACATCTATTCTATCGTTTCAAAACCTTGATAACCAATTCAACATTATGCTCCAAGAAATGCTCAAAATGCAATGTCCTAAATTGAAATAATTTTTTTTTCATTTGAAAAAAAAATTTCCGAGGTAAAAGATTATTTTTAAACTTTTTGAAGGGATTTTTTTCGGAGTGAGAAAAATATTTCTCAACGCAAATAAAAAAATTTTTATTTAAGGAATTGAAATTTAATTCTTTGTCGATGACAAAAATTCTCTTTGAATTAAAAAAAAAAAAAAAAAAAAAAAAAAAAAAAAAAAAAAACTTACGAGAGTTCAAGAAAATCTGTTATCAGACGGTTTTTTTTCTAGAAAAATTCTCTCCTTCAAAAACCGTCCCCCCTCAGAAACCTACTTGGCACCCGTCACGTGTAGCGCTAACGCATTTTTCTTGCATATCTTTCATCTCCCTTACTCCCCCGTTTTCGCGCTCACTCTAGGAATCCAAAATTTAAGCCACGACCAAGCTTCACTTACTCGTAGGCGTGATCAGTTGACCGCATCTTTCTTTATATGTGTTTTAATCACGCTGCGGCAATTAGGAGGATGGAGTGATAACGTCTTTTAGAGGGCCGCATGCAGCTTCTCCGGGCCCTGGAAAGGGAATATACCTCGGTGATAGACATCCTTCCTTTTAGGGCTCCCGAGGGAAATTGTAATACTTATGTAACGATTCCAAATATATTTCACAATTTTTCCCGCAAAGTCAAGACTATTCCTTGCTCTCCTACTTCAACGCTATTTTATCCTTAGTGCTGTATGTTGAAGTACAGCCGACACACGTGACAGCCCCTCCAAAGGCATTTGAAGGATTTTGCTAAGTAAGAACGAAGCATATCTTCCTTTTTTGATATTGCGATGAATTTTTGGGTAACAACAGCTCGAAACTGCTCCCGAAACGACTTAATTTTTTCAAATTTTCCCGAGAAGACCTCTCGAATCCCCTTTGGAGCTAGGGAGGTCTCCCAACCCCTCCTTTTGAGCTAAAGTCCTACACGTCCCCCATGGTGGGTTGTGCTCCATTTGTGCCCCCTAACCCCCCAAATGAGACACCCTCTGCTCCCTCCACCCCCACAAAAAGCCAATAGACCCGCTCATATGTCCGTCCTGTGAATTGCTCTCTACGTAAGATTTTTGGAAGAAAATTACTTTTCTCTTTAGTTGAGATCTTGTCTAATGACCCATTGTGAAATCTGCTTATTGGTTTTTTTCATACCTACTTTACTAAAACCGAAAAAATGATAACCGTTTCCAAAAATTTGACAATGAAAGCATGTAGTGTTTTATTTTTTGAGGAAGTGAGATACTAGGTTCTAACCATGGAATTTCCGATCACAACAACAGTGATCACTGATGGCGTCCGGCGAGGCGCAGTAAGCGAGATCGCTGCTAGAGCAGTTTTTGCAACCCATCCCGACCACTGAAAAGAAAACAGAAACAGACGCATTGTTGAAAATATTAGCTTTTTGTTTAGGATTCTTTTCTTCGTTCCAAACGATAGATTGGGACCATCCAAATAAAATAGTGAAGAATAGGGAAATTTTTCTGTGGATCGGAAAGCATCTCTAGACCTCGTTTTAAGATCGTTAAAATATTCATGAAACGTTAATAATATTACGTTTGAATAAAATCCTGCAATATTTATTTTAAAAAGTAAAATTGATCAGACAGGATCTGCGAAAAACATAATTATTATTCCTTAGCAGTTTTTTAGAGTTTTTGAAAAGCGCTTTTTAAGGGTCATCGCTGCTAAGGCTGAAAGTGTGGAAGTAAAATGGTAAAATTTCACAGAATTTGATCTGGTTGTAAACTGAAAATGATAGCAGTCTTTGATTCCACTTACTCAGTTCAGGTGTCAAGGTCCTTGCGGCTGCTTTGGCATCTTCTTCTGTCACCTTATGCTCAACGCCGAGGTTAGAGGCCGTGGTTCCAGTGTTTATCGCCACGAAAACAATGAGACAGGTGAATGTAATCGATAAGGATCTTACGGTCATTTCACAGATTCATCTTGACAGACACCTCAAGGAGCTGCACCCTTATAGAACAGCTTCACATGACTGGCGCAATCTTAAACACTACACTGCAAAAAAAGCACATACAATGCGTTATTCAGGACATGGAAAGAATAACTGGAACAGAATGGCAGAAGCAAGGCTGCCAAGAGGATGCATGATTGGGTTCTCCTGGGAGGAGACGAAGAGAACTACCCAATAAAAAAATGGCGACTGGGGGTTTTACAAGAAATGAGGAAGCACCAACTCCTGGAAGAGGTTTGGGAGGATAGGGGTCTTTGGTGGTTAGGTATCGCAGAACGCCAGAGAGGGTCGCGAAAATGGCAAAATGTGTATGAAAATTGATCCTTTACAGGTACTTTATATGCGGAAAGAATGCACTGAAAAATGTGAGGAAAAAATGCACTGAAAAATGTGAGGAAAAAAATTCACACGTGCCTCAGAAAATGCGTGTTTTATCGAAAGAATTTGGCCGGCGATGACCGATTTGGATATGGCATGCTTCCTTAGCACGGCAGAATAGGTCCTGGGTTCGAATCCCAGCACGTTGTTTTCTGGACGAAATAACTTATCTTTATTCGAGGGTTGCGAAATTTACTCACAAATTTTCTATTTGTTCACCCGAAAATGACAGCGCAATTTCTGTTCAAAAATTTGCTAATCTTTGACGATAATCCATGGAAAAAAATGAAAAGTTTGAAAATAATGTTCCCAATCATTTCCGAATATATTAATAATTGTGAAAAAGAAGCCAACGTTGAAATGTAATGAAGTTCTTTCCTCCAGTAAACGACGAGTACACGCACATTTCTATGTAGCATTTCTTCTATGCAGCACATTTCTATGTAGCAATTTGAGTGGCAACAAATTTTTTACAAATTATTATTCCGTGTCTCTGCAGAAACGGATTTCACTTGGTCAAACTCCTGAATATGTGGAGAGCCTGGAGCATAGATGTGTCTATGTCTTCAGATATTTAGGGCAAATGAACTGAAAACATACTGCCGTGCTACATGCTACACTGCGACGGAAAAACGCCGTAAGAGCCTTCAGGCGTTGCAAAATTTCTGTCTATGACGTAAGAATTTTGAAGGAAACTGCTGGATGGTTTTTTTCCAATTTTGCAGAGAATTACACTCGCAATTTGATTTAAACTTTGTGAAAAATTCAAGGAAGCGAATTTTCATAACACTCCTCAAAAATTACTGTTTCATTAGGGGAAATTTGGCAGCTCCTGAAGGCTCTTACGGCGTTTTCCCTTACTGCCGTACTGAGGAGGAAAGCCGTATGAACATTCGAGAGTTGCCAAATTTCTCTCGATAAAATATGTATTTTAGATGATATTCATATACATTTTTCCTTGAAATTTTTCGATATTTAAGATTAAATTGCGCACAAAATATCTAAAATTTTTAGAAAAAAATATTCACAAATTTCCCAGTAATTTCGGTTCTTATCGAAGGCAACTTGGCAGCGTCTGAAGGCTTATACGGTGTTTTTCCTCAGCACGGCCTTGTACGTGGATGTTGCGTTGGTTCCTACCGGAGTGCAAGGCAACAGGAAGAAAAAAAAACATATCTCTCGATTCTTACCGGCGATCAGTGAGTAGCTTGCAGAGTCTACTACGGAGTTTCAGTCTCCGTTCCGATTTAGGACCCGGGGGATCCGGGGATGACTGAGACCCGGGCGCTCGGTCGGGGAAACCGGAACGTAGTCGCCGTAGCGCGCGGCGAGTCTGTTNGGGGGGGGGGGGTGGCGGTTCGTTGGGGCACCGGGAAAAGTAGACGCGGGCCTTCGGATTCGGGCGCGAAAAAAACGGAACTTGGGCGGCGCGCGCCGGGCCCAGCGATTTTGATCCGGATGCGAGCGCTGCGACCGCCGCGAACGTAACTGACGATTACGCTGCATGAAAAGCGAGAACGCGGATTCGACACCGTTTCCCTCCATCGAGCCACGGTTGCCAGGCCGCGCCGGGAAAACGAACACTAGTCGAACCACGGGAATCGTGCCGGAATAAGAAGAAGGACCGGCAAGGAAATGGAAAAATTTAACATAACTGAGATGAGCAGAAAGGATCCGGTGCGGACCCACTCCATGTCCGTCAAGAGTTCTAGGATCTGGAACTTTTTTGTTTCAATTTCTCGCACTCCATGACCGTCAAAAGTTCCGGGATTTTTTTAAGATTTTTTCAAAAGTTCCGGAAAATGCAAAAGATCCGGAACATTTTGGGAATTTCATAAGTTTCGGGAAAAATTCAGGAAGATCTCAAAAGTTCCAGGAAATGGGAGCATTGAAAGGATCCAGTGGTCCCATTCCATGTCCGTCAAAAGGTCCGGGATTCGGAACTTTCTTTTTCCAATTTCTCGCACTCCGTGATCGTTGAAAGTTCCGGGATTCTTTCAAGATTTTTTCAAAAGGTCCGGAAAAATCGAAAGATCCGGAACATTTTGGGAATTTCAAAAGTTACGGGAAAAATTCAGGAAAATCTCAAAAGTTCCGGGAAATGGGAGCACTGAAATGATCCGTTACGAGAGCTGAGGAACAATGCACCGAACTGATATTTCGGGAAAAATGAGTCAGCGACTTTGCAGTATCAAAAGCGTGCACTGATGTCTTCAGCTTTTTCCAATTCCGTATGAGAGCGCTGTAATGACGCTGTATTGTATAAAAAAATTGCAAATCTGACCTCAAAATTATAAAAGAGGCGTATTGCTTTCTTCGTCCTGCAAACTGGTCCGTTGGCAGATACGTGGTATTGTTCCTTAGCCGTTGATAAACAAGTTGATACTCAGTGGCTCGAGTTGACAAAAACGCATCAAGTCGCATTTTCGACCAAAAAAGCTGGACGAATAATTTTTACTTCTTGAGGTTTCCGAATTTGATAATGGATTTGAGCTGAATTTTTTTTTTTTATTAATATTATCTCCTTAAGTCAAGGCGACTCGCGTTTTTCGTTGCGCCTACTTTTCTTCCCTTGCGTTAAAGTCTCTGAAATGGTGCCTGCATTTTACCGTCTCTGCGATCCTTATTCGTATGGTTCAGCATGAGCAAATTTTTAAATAACAATGTCTTATTGCGGCAAACAACTCCTGTTTGTTGGCACGCTGATTTTTCTGCGCTGTTTTAAAGTCTCTGCAGTGATTCCTTCACTTTGGTCAGATTTAAAAAATTAAACTAAAGCTTAGAGTGCACTGAGTTCAACGGTATAATTTGTCATTTTTATGTATTGTAGGTAAGGTGTTTCGAAAAAAACTTTTTTTTACCTTTGATCCACAGAAAATTCCTGGTGCTACTGGACCTCAGCAACATGAATATGGGTCAAATTTTGGGCAGACATATACCCTCTAAACTTGCGTGTTCCCCTTTAGTGCGCCCCCAAGTTAGAATCATGGCAACTTAATTCACATCGGATAAGGGTGAACGAAGCATTTTAATTAAATAACCACCAAAAAATGTATTTGATGTAAATATACGATTGGAACAAATAACTCCTAAAAATCAGCCCATTTTTCAAAAAGGGGGGGGGCATGGGATCCACGTAGAATTTGACCCATATTCATGTTGCTGAGGTCCCGCAGCACCAGGAATTTTGAGTAGAGCGAAGGTTTTAAAAAAGAAAACTTATTTTTGCATCACTCTAATCAATGGTTTGAGAGAAAATTAACAGGATACTTTACCAGATGACCCTCGAATGTAGCTTGATTGTTGAGGGCGTATCCCCTAGTTGAAATGCATATAAAAGGAAGTATTTGAACTAAATTCATTTGCAATTTTAACGTGTTAAATCATTGAATAAGACTTCACGCACGCTGGGCTTGTCGATTTCCTTTCACATTTTTGCAGTGGTGAATGCATAGCTGAAGTGCGCTACAGCTAGAATTGTATATAGAAAATGGGTAATTTTATAGGAGGATTATGATAAACAAGAGGTTAGAAATGAAAACAAAATACTATGAACTATGCAAAACGATTATTCTGATATCAGAACTTGGCTGTTTTGAAAACGCCTTCAAATGCGGCGTGATACCTCACGCATTCCGGAGAGTTCAATTAGTTGTATCATTGCGCCTTAGAAATGCGACGGAAGATTTAAGTGGAGATAGCCTTCATGCACGCTGGGCTTGTCGATTTCCTCTGAAATTTTTGCAATTGAAAATGCACAGCTGAAGTGCGCTCCAGCTAGAATTGTATTTACAAATGGGTGGTTTTTCTACGAGGATTAAAAATAAACAATTGGCACGGAAAATAACAAAAGAACATGAACTATGCAAAACGTTAATCCGGATATCGGAACTTGGCTGTTTTGAAAACGCCTTCAAATGCGGCGTGATACCTCACACATTCTGGAGAGTTCAAATAGCTGTATCATTGCGCCTTAGAAATGCGCCGGAAGATTACAATTGAAAAAGCCTTCATGCAAGCTGGCCTTTTCGATTTCCGTTATCATTTTTGGGTGGTTCAGCGGGTGGTTATAATGGACAGATGAAGTGAGTAATAGACTAATCAACGGCAATTCACGAGGGATCGTATAGTCAGTTCATAATTTTCTCCTTTGGTCTACAACAATCACCCACTTCAACCAATGGGATCGCTCTATTTTCCCTATGTCTTCTTTGTCTATCGCTTTGTCTATCGATTTCAATAATCAGCCCACCGACCTGCGAAGTTACTCATTTATATTACCAATGCAACTTGTCCAGGTAGCTTTTTTACTCGCATAGATTCACGCATGCCCACCTATGCGTGTGGTAGAATTAGTGTCATTATGTACATCTTTGGAGACTTAAACGCCGGGAGTAAGAAAGTAAGCGACAATTTCAAAATTGCAATGATCACTTCAGACTAAAATTGAAGACTTCAAGCCAAAAATGTGTTGCGATTTTTGAAAAGTTTTAAGAATTTACAGCTCATAGTGACGTTTCATTAAAATATTTCATAGAGAATGAAATATTTTTACGTTTTGACAGTCATTCAAAAGTTCAATTGTTTTCCGAGTTTTTTGATGACGATTCCTTTTTAAGACAGGTACCTACCAATTTTTGATAATTTTGAGGGTGCCAAGATAGCAATCTGAGCCACTTCCGCCATCTTTGAGTTTTGAAATTCAAAACTTACGGAAAATTCAACCTAAAAGTGACAAACATCCACTGCCACCATGTCTCACAAAAATGAATCAAACAGGATCCGAGATAGCATTTTAGGCCGCATCCAGTATATTGGATTTTTAAATTATGAAAATTTGAGTTGGAATTCAAGGTTTCCGTCGAAAAATGCCACCTTGTACCGAGTTTTAAGAAACGTCCTGGAGTGTACTGACGGCGGCAATCGTGATCTTCTGCCATCAAGTCGAGGCGAAACTCTTGAAGGCGCTCTGAGCAACTATATCACCTCGGAAGTATTGCACAGTATCAGACGAAATTGAAGGCGCACTAACGTAGGCAACTTGACTGGTAGTGTTTTTCGTACGATATGCGACTCTTGTTCGATCAATTTTTTTGAAACTCAGAACCACGTGGTATTTTTTGACGGATAACCTGAATTTTAACTAAAATTTTCATAATTCAAAAATTCAAGATAGTGAATGTGGTCTAAGATGCTATCTTGGCACCTGTTCGATTCATTTTTGTGAGATTTGGGCAATGGATGTTTTTCACGTAGAGGTCGAATTTTCATTCAAAATTTTAAAATTCAAAAGTCGGAGATGGCGGATGTGGCCGAGAATGCTATCTTGGTGCCTTCGAAATTATCCGACTTTGAAAAAGAGGTATATATCCTTTTTAAGTTCAGTTTCAAATCGATGTACTCTCAGCTAACTTAAACCTCGATATCGGCTCGCTCTTCAACCGTTATGAAATGAATCTGTTTGTTTTGTTTGTATTCTTTTTTTTTTTTTTTTTAAATTATTCATGTATTTATTTTTATTTCATTTCCAACAAGAGTCGCATATCGCACGATCCATAGGACTCTACGGATGCCAGTGAATTTACAAACGTTAGTGCGCCTTCAATTCCGTCTGATACTGTGCAATACTTCCGAGGTGGTATAGTTGCTCAGAGCGCCTTCAAGAGTATCGACTTGACTTGATGGCGGAAGATCACGATTGCCGCTGATATTACACTCCAACGCGTGCGCAGTTACACATTTTCTCATTACCGACGGCGAGATAAAAAACATCTTTACCTCGATTTGCGACGTTGCAACTTTTCCACTGCCTATTTTGAATGAGTAAAAGAACATAAAAACTTTAAAATCTGCCGTAATTTTTCCGAGATGTGACAAAATACATTATTTGGATTACATTTTGCAATAAGGAACCACTATCTCTGGCTCTCCCATCAAAGCACATATCTGATCTTCGTAGGGAAACCAATGGCATGTTGTTTCTAAAATGGGCCAAAAATAGTGGTTTCTTATTGCAAAATGTAATCCATTTGAATGTGCTGCTATCGAGCTGATCATAACAGTGATTGTCACTTACTACGTTACGGTGCCTCTTCGGGCCCATTTACGTCCAGAGTTATAACATTTCGGGTCTGTTTTTGTTCGTTCGAGGATTCCTAACTACCACTTCTTATTCTCCTGTTTAATTTAAGCATAAAGTTTAGACATTCGACTGAAATGAAACATTCAAATTCAACAGTCATTGTTATTATCAGCTCGCTAGCAGCACATTCAAATAATGCTTTTTGTCATAACTCGGAAAAATTACCTACGGCAGATTTTATGTGTTCGCGTTCTTCTACCCGTTCAAAATAGGCAGTGTAAAAGTTGCAAATTGTGGTATGTATGTATTTCATCTCTCCGTCGATGATGAAAAAATGTGTAAATCCACATGTTCTGGGGTGTAATGTCGGCGGCAGTCGTGATCTTCTGCCATCAAGTCGAGGCGATACGCTTGAAGGCGCTCTGAGCAACTATTCCACCTCGGAAGTATTGCACGGTAGCAGACGAAAATGAAGGCGCACTAACTTAAGCAAATTGACTGGTAGCGTTTATCGTACGATCTGCGACTCCTGTTCGCTCGATTTTTTTAAAACTCGGTACCAGGTGGCATTTTTTGACGGAAAACCTGATACAATATAAACTAGGCATGTTCCGATTATCGATTCATAATAATTAGTCGAGCGCATAATAATCGATTACAGTAATCTATTTACAATTATCCGATTAATCGTCTAATCGATTGTTTGTTTCCGATTAATCAGCAATTTGAGATTATGTTAAAAAAAAACGTGTGCCAGCTCCAAAAAATCTAACATTCAAAAGATTTTAGTGGTCAATCTAGCCATTTTTAGCACTTTTCGAAAACAGCGATTAATTATCGATTATCGATTAATCGATTATTTCGCTGTCAATTGATCTCTCTCTCCCTCTCTTGTTTTTACAGCTTTTATCCCAATTTTTGTGTCATTGTTTAATGTCTTGACCGATTAGCTACATAGTTCGATTACCGATTATCGATCATTCGATTATTTAAATAATTGAGCATGCCAACGATAGATAAATACGGCAAAGGGAAAATGAAGCAATCCTGTTGGTGGAAGCGCGCAGGTGGTTGCGATGGACAAAAAAGACAAGCAACGAACCGAAACTTACGTGGGACCTTATAGTTAGTCCATCAGTTTCCTCCTTAATCTATAGCAGTCACCCGTTTCAACCAATGGGATCGATTCATTTTATACCTCATACCTCACGCATTCCGGAGAGTTCAAATAGTTGTATCATTGCGCCGTAAGAATGTGACGGAAGATTTAAAAGGAGATAGCCTCCATCGACGCTGGGCTTGTCGATTTCCTCTAAAATGTTTGCAGTGGTGAATACATAGCTGAAGTGTGCTTCAGCTACAATTGTATTTAGCAAATGGGTGGTTTGTTATAGGAGGATTTTAATGAAACAAGTCGTTAGAAATGGAAACAAAAGAACATGAACTATGCAAAACGATAGTCTGGGTATCGGAACTTGGCTGTTTTGAAAACGCCTTCAAATGCGGCGTGATACCTCACGCATTCCGGAGAGTTCAAATAGTTGTATCATTGAGCCGTACGAATGTGACGGAAGATTTAAATCGAAATAGCCTTCGTTCAGGCTCACCACATCCAATCTCGAGCCCTGGTACCAGTTTTAAGGTCCGGGCCCCAAGCACGGAGGGGGGGGGGGCGAGGGGCATTCCCCGATAAATTTTAGAATTTATAAGACTAATCGGACGCATTTTGAAGCTTCCATGAAAAATTTTTCCATCAATTTCTGCGGAATAATTATGTTTTTTTTATACTTTCAGCACAAAATACTTGCGAATTATTGCATTCAAAACATCTGGAAAATTTTTATTTCTTTAGGGGGGGGGGGGCATATGATACTATTTTCAGTTCCATGAGGGCCAGGCCCCCCTGGACTCCCCCTTTGTTTGTCTATGGCAAGGGAGTTGAGTCATGAGCCACTGAAGTCGAGGATGCCCAGACTGGAGACTCTTAGCATCTGGACGGAAGAAAATGAAACGCAGTCACTAAAAATATCCCTCTGTAATGAAAATCTTGAAAATAGATAGAAATTTCCCAAGAAGTATACTTCTTTGAAAATTTATGAAGATTTCTACAGTGCCCCAGCGTGTTTCTGAAAATCTACTGACCTTTTGCGAAATTTTTAGGGTAAATTTTTCACTTTTTCTTACGAAACATGGGTTGCATGTGAATTCGTTGTAGTTTTTCACGGGTAACACGGGCCCCCTCCGGGGCCCGGGCCCCGATACCAGGGACCCAGTGTGGCGGGCTTGAATAAGATATTCGTACATTAAGATTTTTAAAAAAATATTAAATTTTAACACTTTCCACCTTTAAACTTGTCTTATTTTAAACTTTCTTTTGAAACTAGCCTCTTATTGTCACAAAGTTCATCTGCCGAAATATCTCAACTTATCGCTCTATCGGTAAGTTTAATTTCAGATTTTCTATCACATCAATTCGAATGCAACTTTTTGGATTTCGGAAAATGTAAAGAGAAGTAAGGCACTTTTACGAGTTGATTCGCATCAATAATTTCATTTGAGATCTCAGCTACACCCGCAAATCGACGGTGAACCTACCAGATCACGTATCTCGTTTGCCGTGTTTAAAAATCTCCGCTTCCATTTTATGTTTGTAAGGAGAACGAAGCAATATCATACCTAGTAGTTTTACAGGGTTTTCTTCGTACAGAAATAATACATCTCGTAAATTTTCAAGAATTGACATCGATCAGTTTTCCATATAAAAAATAAAGTGACAGTAAGTCTGAACGTCGCAAACCGAGATATGGGTGGCAAGTCATTTTTCCTAAAACATTTTTTCCTACTGCAATTTTTCCTAATACTTTTTTCCTACTCGTTTTTTGTTCCATCACAATTAGTCCTACGAGTGAGATATCCTACTGGCAGTACTGGCTTTTTTCCTAGGGGCATTTGTCCTAAATTCAATTTTAAAACTGGGGGAGCGAGAAAGTAAAAAAACAACATAGGTACCTTACAAGTTAAAGTTGTGGCCGCATACCCGTAAGTAGTGGAGCTTCATCCTCCTCCTTATTTATATTCGGCTCGCTGAGAAAACTTTACTCTTTCTGCAACATTTCCCTCTACTCTACACATGTTTACGTTTCAATTATTATTGGATTATTAGGACAAATATCCTTAGGAAAAAAGCCAGTGGGACATCTCACTCGTAGGACTTACTGTAATGGGACAAAAAACGAGTAGGAAAAAAGTATTAGGAAAACCTGATGTAGGAAAAAAAAAAATTAGGAAAAATGACCTAGCACCGAGATATGTGGCCTGATGGTTTCACCGTGGAACGATGTCTATAATGAATTAAAATGAAAACGAAGGTCGTTGGGACAAACAATTTACTTTATTAATCTTTAAAACACAATTAATAACTATTAACCTAACTATCCTGAGAAAATTCTGCGGATCACAGAGAAGTAAAATTGCACGGGTTCAAGAGATGAATTGAAAGTTAACCCTTTCAGATAATCTTAAGTATAAATGGTGAAATTAATTATGAATTCACGAAGCACTTTGCAAATTTTCAAAAAAAGTAGAGGCACCCTGTGCAATAATCTCAGGCTATCAAAATTAATGTGTTATAAAGCCTGTTCAGATTCTGTTAAGGCCTAATGTTGGTTTGAGATCTAGTTTTTTTGAGCCTCTACTGATTAAATAAAAAGAATAGTGTCAATGATTTGGTTCTCCATGGGAATTACCAGCAGATCGGGCTATGAATTTGTTATGTTTTGCCGTGTTCTTGTATGGCCGATATGACTAGAAGTTCCGATTTTGTAAGCTAGAGTTTTTTTCTGATCACAGATTGTTGCTCCTTTGACGTAAGGGCGAATTTCTATTTTAACATTAGCCCCGGAAAACAATGAGTTGTACGTTGCACGGGGCTCACGTAGAAATTGATGTATGCACCTCAGAGGAGCGACGATATGGACAAGACTGTAATTGGTAATCATGTTCGACCTACGCGACTCTAATTCTAAATGTTTGAAACATTGACCCACTTATCGCACAGATCGGAGCCATTTTTACTTAAATTTTGATTTCCTTTTTTTTCAAGTCTTAGAAAGAGGGAGGCAGGGGTCACAAGCCGCGGTTTACCGAGCGACTCCCTCAATTGCGCCTAAGTTTAGGTTTTTTCCTCTTCGTAATTATTCATCTCGTGTTGTACTCAGAACAAAGGCTATTTTACACTTGAGATATAGTAAGATGTTTCTACCTGTAATTAAATCTGATGCGTGCTTAGTATCGGGGCCTTTTGCACACTTTTTTTCAAGTTCATTTCCGGAGAGCACGCACAAATGAGAATGCGCTTGTCTACGTTTTATTCAATGAAATCGCAGGTAAGCAAAAGACTTTGGAAGTCACCAAAAATCCAACTACGTTTCAAACGGGAGAAAATAAAGCCAGCATATTTCATAACGTTACAAGGAGCATTAACCTCTGGGAATCCTTTCACCCACGTTCCTTCATTTTACCTCTGGGTCAAGATTGTGACGAAAGGTAATGTTTCTCAACCGGACTCGCAATATTATCATTTTTTAAATTGATTTTTCTCGTCGTTTGCTCGAAATGGAAACATTTTTTCTTCATTTAAATCGCACGGCGGGCACGTCAATATTGGAGCTAATGTGTTTGAAACGATAAGTCGTCGCCTCATATCACGTTATAAGCTTCAGGTCAGTGAGGAACGTCTTTTTCACGACCTCAACTTTAAGCCTCGTTTCCCAGTGACAAAAGAAATAGTTTTGAGCTTTTCAGGCTCGGGAAAGCGTCTCTCGCAAAAATGTACTGTTGAGACACTTTTTTCAAGGCAATCCCTGAATCTCACGACAGTCCTATTTCTTCCTAGGCCAACGATCATAGGTGACCGCTCTCTAAAAGCTCGACAGAGCTCTCGGACATGGCAAAGGTGTTGCCTATCTGAATTTTATCAACTTTTGCTCGATGAGGGGTCAGGTCACTTTGCGGTGTCATTCCTGCTTTCAGGCGCTGCAATCAAAAGGAAAATTTGATATTAATCTTGTATATCAGCAGATTTACAAGAAGAAAGAAAAATCACTGAAAAATGTGGCCCAAATTGTATTTAACAAGGTGGTAAAAAAGTGCTGCAAAATAATGTGGACCGAGCATTATTTTATCAACTTGTTTAACACATTTACTAAGCCGCAGTAACGCCCATTATTAATTTAAACAAATTAATAATTCAAGAGGCTCAAGACAGCAAACAGTCTCATACGGCGTGCATCACTGCGCTGTCAGGACAAGACAAGCCACAGTGCCTTCAAATTTTACAGCATGCAATACGGACATCCCCTAAACTCAAATGGTTGTATCCATGCTCCGACCTTGGTCGTACCCTGTTCGTATCTTTTGTGCAGTATTTGTCTACCTATGTATGTAGTTCATTCTAAATTCGGCGATTCTTTTCTCTCGCAAAAAGTTTTTTTTTTTTTTTTTTTTTTTTTTTTTTTTTACAAAAAAATAGAAAAATAATATCCGAATATAACTGAAGCTTATTTTATTACTCTTCCTGGAAAAGAGTTAACTGATAAGTATGGTTGTGTTTTTTGTATGGAGAACTTTAAAATTAATTCGCTTTCTTAATAGTATTGAAAATTGAGTGTTTCAGACTAATATGTAGCTTTTCATCGTTTCGTTTGGTTTTACTAGTTTCGACTTTCTCTCAAGGGGCACTGACGGTGTGGTGTCACTGCTATGATCCAAACCGAAATGATCCATAGGATTTTAACGGAGGTCCCCCTCAGCGCGGTATCACGTTTAAAACAGTCCACGAGGTGGGCGACATAATAAAAAAATAATTTCAAAGTTTGTACATACCTGAGATAGAGTTCCGGGCGTTTTGGCAAGGAAATACAGCGCATAGAGGGGAATCCATACCATGGATATGAAGCAGAGCGACAGACCAAACCACTCTCCCCACGCTGGATATTCATAATAATCGCCGTACTTTAGTGGGGTGTATGTCAGCAAATAGAAAATCAAAATTCCCTAGAACAAACGTGAAAATTAAAAACATGAAATACACGTTTGAACGTTTCGTTCCCTCCGTTGTTAGGAGTGAACTGTTTACTCTGAGTCAAATTCGGCGGTTATAAAGAAAGAGTGGGCAATTTTACGAAAAGTGTCTAATTTCAGTCATGAACCTTTCATTTTTTCTGTGATTAATCTTCTAACATTTTATCTGACATATTGGAAAATAAGTGCTTTTAATGAATTCTGGAATTAATTTTGTATAAGTTACTGTATTAAGCTTCATATTCAGATTTTACTGCTTAAAACGTCATGCCCGTTACTGTCATGATTGGTAGGTTACAATGTTTACAGCTTCATGACTTTTTTTGGCCACATAAATTGTTCCAATTTCTGAACTACTTTCATAAAAAACACCAGCAGTTGAGGAAACAATGTATTTGATTTTTAAAAAATGTGTTTTTAACCCGAAATATTTCGGAAATATGCTATCATCGACATCACGACTGGTTTCATAAATATTTTGGCGGATCATAATTTGATTATAAATCTTGCTCTCACATTTTGATTTTTCATAAAAAAAGAAAGAAATCTGCCCGTAAGAGATTTTCTCGAGTTACTCAGTTTCTTTAGTCACTGCTCTGTTTTACTGAAAAGCTTCAGTTATATAGGTATATTTTCATATAGGTATCTTATTAGTAAATAATAAGAGAAAATTCAGCCTTGATACCTTTTTTATAAATTTATTCTCCTACGAGGCCTTTCGATTACAAACAATCATCATTAGGCAGGACACTACATCACATATTATATTGGTCACTCATGTTTGTTTTATCAACAAACAAAAGTATACCAAAACATAAAAGAAACATCATACTTAAAACTCGACAGTATATATAATAAGGTCAATAATACGATATATAATAATAGCTAAATAATCGAAACGTAAGAATAGAGGGCAAATGAAGTAAAGATCAGTACAATCAGATGAGTGATCAGTGATGGAGAATAAACTTAAATATTCTCTTGTTACTGCTCTGTTTGGTTGCACGGCAGAATTCTCGGAGTTGCGGCCATAATTTAATTATTTATTTGTTTAAGCTGTGTCTGTCCCGTCCAAGATAAGCAAGTTTCTCGTTTAATTCGCGTTTCCCGTCACTCGAGTCACCGTGGCTAATTAGCTGCATGTTAATTTTGGCCCGGGCGCGTAAAGGGCTCTAGATGCTGTTTTGTCTACGCTGTGGTCGGGGGGCTCAGTAATGTCAGGGAAGATGAAAAACAGGGATTAGTACAAAATGTAGAGCCTCAATTGCTCACCACCATGACAGCCGGTGCCAAGACGGTCCAACAGATCCGCATGCAAATACTTGGCCGGAATCCCATCATTTCTTCGACGCAGGAGCAGAACTTGTCCGTCCCGAAGATCCACGAGATGGCGATCGTCTGAAAGAAGCACACCCATAGCAGGGATATCCCCGAAGCAGCGTAGAAGTCCATCAGCTGGAATAGGTACATTCCGTTCTGGAACCACAGAAATCACTTATTCTAAAATAATGGTACTCGATCAACAGTAATTCACAACAGTAATTACAGATGCTACAGAGGTGCAGTGGTGTGGCTAGGAATTCTTTACGGGACCCTCCCCCC